AACCGATTATGCCAAAGCATAACTGGACTAACAGACTGAGAAACAAAAGACTTCTTATCTTCATGATCTTTCCAATGAGAACTCTCTCCAAGCAGATAGATCTCATTCGTCTCACGGCCAGTCCCAATCACCTTCCTTGTCTCCAAGTCCTGAAAAACACATCGGTCAGGGAAGAAGGTTACTGAATAGTTATGATGTTTTGTAATACTACTGACTGAAAGAAAGTTAGTATCAAGCTTAGGAACATGCAAAACTGAGGATAAGGAAATGGTATTAGACAACTTGATGTCTCCCTTGCCAGAAATGGGGACAAGGGAACCATCAGCAATGGACACTTTATCTCTACCAAAAGATAAGTGATAGGTAGTGACAAGTGATGGCAAGCTAGTCATATGGTCAGATGCACCTGAGTCTATTACCCAACAATGTTCAGTGTTACCTGGAGCTGAAGTATGGTAAGCTGAGGTCCGAGTACCTGAATGAGCAAAGGCTGATGTTGAAGGAGTTGATAATGACTGAGATGACTGAGCTGAATTCCCAACCTCCTTTTCCAACTTTGTTAGGGCAGCCCGAACAGCAGCTAAGGTGTCTAGAGGCGTGCCTTTTGTGTCCGATGAGGAGGCAGAATCGGTATTAACAGCCATATGAGCATTACCCCTTTTGTTCCTCAGTTTTGCTGGGACTAGATGAGGGTGCAACTTCCAACATGTGTCTTTAGTATGCTTAGGTTTCTTGCAATGTTCACACACTAGATCCCGCTTATCTTCCTTCTTCATATCCCTTTCCGTATCACCCCCAGACTTAGGCTTAACTGCTGCCAAAGCTGGTGGAAAGGGCTGATGCTGCACCATAACCTTCCTCCTGGTCTCTTCACTATGCACCAATGAGTAGGCTTGAGATAAGGGCACACTGTCCCTTGTTAGTATCTATTGTCTCACAATATCATAATCAGAATTTAGACCAGCTAGGAATTCAAAAACTCTATTAGTCTCAACTTGCTTTCTATGAGTCTGTGTATCCTTCTGACTTTCCCACTCAAGTGTTTCCAGATGGTCAATTTCATGCCACAGAGATTTCAAAGTGGAGAAGTAAACGGAGACTGGTTTATCTCCTTGCTTGAGGTTATTAACCTCACACTTCAATTCATAGGCCCTAGCAACATTAAGGGGTTGGGAGTAGGTCTCTTTCATGACATCCCAGATCTCCTTGGCTGTTTTTGCCCATAAATAGTTTCGGCTGATATGTGGCTGCATAGAGTTGCACAGCCATGTCATAACCAAGTAGTTCTCTTGAATCCACTTAGTATACATTTGGTCCTCCTTGGATAGTTCTTTCACATCTCCCAATAGGTAGCTAAGTTTTCTGCTACCCCCAATAGCCATCATGGCTGATTGGGCCCATTCTAAGTAGTTGGATCCATCAAACCTCACAGTTGTAATCTGAAATGCAGTCTCAGACATTACCAGAATTGCTATTTCCAAAAACACTTTCCCCCTGATTCTTGAACTCCATTCTTGGTTAAGAATTAGCAATCAAAGGCTTTTAAAGMTACTGTAATAGAAAACAACACTTAAACAACTGATAACAGCCAGCCTAGGTCTTCCACAAACAAGGGGAAAAACAGAATTCTGTATGAACTCAGTTCAGATCTGATCTGAAACCAATCGACAGTTTTGACTGTAAGCAGTCCAATTCTTGATAAAGGTTCTCACCCCCCAAAACAGATTTTGAAGCTGCAATAAGTCTAGAACTCACTTAGAAAACAATCTGGAATGCTGAAACAGATTTAGGGTTAAGGAAAACTTGGAGAAATCTTTGTGAGGACAAAATAATTCTCAGTCGCACCTTCCAAATAGGTCCACAGTCAAGTTTGGTCGTTGGGTTAAGAACAAACCCTAAAAAAAAGCCAGAGAGCTCTGATCGCCTCTGAGAAAATAAAGGAAAGCTCAACCGCTCCTTCTAGATAGGTCCAACCTATCTTTGACTGATGACGGTCTCAAGAAAAGATAAAAACTTACCTAGAAAACTCTGATCGCCACCTTCAATCTTGGCCTGACCCTAATATTGATCCTTTTAACCTTCTTTGATTCTTCCTGATTACCAAAACACTCTCCAAGCCTCTACAAGCCTTTGGACAGCTGCTAAACCCTTCTGGTAACCTCCAAGAATCAGCCAACGAACAGTTCTTTCTAAGCTTCCAGCCCTAGGCAATTCTCATGTGGTCGGCTGGATTAGACACACATGAGAAACCCTAGATTGGCTCTGATACCAAGTAGTCGATCAAGACTACAATCAGTCTTGAATCCAAAAGTAAAAGAAAGATTTCAGATGGAGAAAAAGAAGAAGAAAAAGAGGAGAAAGCAGAAGCACACGAAGGGTTTTAGGAAAAGAGAGAGAGGGTCGAATTGCATTGATCTGCCGACCCACTCTTAATATTTATATGTTTACTAATTGTAAAAAAGGCTGAATTGCCCTTAATGCTTACATGGCAAATAAACTAATAATAAAGCTGAAATAACAAGCTGTAACAACAAAACTGAAATAACTACCAACTAACACTGACATAACTAACAAAGAATACATGCTGTGCTGCCATACGAACATAGTGGGGACCACAGCCGTGGGGTCCACATCAGTGTTCTCTACAAAAGTCATTAAAAAAAATGACCCAATTGGATAATGCTAAGTCATAATCTGATCAATAGATTCTGAAGACAGACTACACCCATAATGCTGACTCTCATAGGCAGATGAAGTTGACTCAAGCTAGTATATCCTATCCTTCACACAACTTCCAATCATTTACCTTGAAGGCAAATCCTAGAAAACACAATGATTAGAAAAAAAGCTCACTGAACAAATTCAAGCTTTTGGTAAGACCCATCATCATCATCTAAATCCTTCTTTTCTATTCCCTTATGTTTAATGTCATATCCATCATCAATTATGGGCACTTAAATCTTTTCTACTACTTCCACCCAAGTCCTTTTTGATCTGGCCCTAGCTCTTCTAGCCCCTTAAAACTTGTAACAAATCACTTCTTCTAACAGGTATTGTAGATAGCTTGATAAGACTACTAAATTATAATAAATTATTACTCAACTTAGATACAAGTAAAATAGATGAAGGATTAAGACCACCAGAAACTCTAATATATTCCTACCCAAACATAATTTTTTTTTTTTGAGAAAAGGTAACGTAAATTTTATTGATAGAAAAAACTAGTACAAAAGCCCCCCAACTAAACACTTTAGAAGGGGAAACAGCCCAAACATAACAAAATTACAGATGCCATAGGCTCCTAGAATTCAGCCTAGCCCCAAACTCAGCAGCCTGGATTCCCTTCGAGGCTGAGATCCAAGAAATCAGCATTCCAACAGAAATGAAAATCAGGTCTTCCGGATCCTTATAGATATTCTGAAATAGTCTTTTGTTCCTTTCTTCCCAAATGGTGCTGATGACTGCAGCCAGAATGGACATCCACACAGCTGAAGCAAGCTTTGACAAACCCAGTAATCCCCAGCTCCACAACATCTCCTTCACCGAAGCTGGCGTTGACCAGGCAAGACCCACCGAACCAAGGAAATGATTCCATATTCTAGCTGAAATTGAGCAATGCAGAAACAGATGGCCGCTATCTTCCACTCCTTGACCACATAACACACACCTCTGGTCTTGGATATGAACCCCTCTTTTACATAGGTGGGCTTTAGTTAAACACCTGTCTAGAACTGCAGCCCACACAAGAGCATTGATTTTTGAGGGAGCGGTTGGATTCCAGATTCTGGAAGCAGGCATATCTTCAGAAGTACTCATTGTCATCTGAGTGACAAATGACTTGACTGAAAAAAGGCCATCTGAACTCCAAGTCCAGGACCAGCTGTCTTCTCTGAGCAGATTTAGGGGTTGAAGAGAGAGCAGTTCGAGTAGATCAGCCAGGGCAGGAATTTCCCAATCCTGAAAATTCCTTCTGAAAGAAGGGCACCAGACTACTAAGTTC